GAAATACGCCCGCCGACGCCAGCGTGAGTGGGGGCGCGCCCAAACATTTTTGGGTCGCTCAATTACAACACCCCACCCAGCCGACAGCCGACGAGCTGAATCCCCTCAGTTCGACCTTCGAGTTTCCACCCGTTTGGCTCTTAACGGTTTCACGTACTCTTGAACTCTCTCTTCAAAGTTCTTTTCAACTTTCCCTCACGGTACTTGTTCGCTATCGGTCTCGGGGTCATATTTAGCCTTAGATGGAGTTTACCACCTGCTTTGGGCTGCACTTTCAAGCAACCCGACTCTCCAGAGAGGCCCTTTCCGACCGTCCCATCTGTACCCTCACGGGCGCCGCCATACGGGCCTGTCACCCTCCATGGGCAGTGGCCGCTTTCAAGCTTGACTTAGACGGTATGGGACGGCGTGCTGGACCCTCTGAAACGCAACACCCCTCGTGCCCGAAGACATCGAGGTTATGCGCTGGGCTTTTCCCGGTTCAGTCGCCCTTACTAAGGGAATCCCTGTTGGTTTCTTTTCCTCCGCTTATTAATATGCTTAAATTTGGCGGGTAGCTCTCTCCTACTACGAGGTCGATCGTGGTCTCATCATCCTTAGGGGGAACAAGTTCCCCAACCACGAAGCGGAAGACGCTCTGCCACCGACTTTCTTCACCACCGACATTACCAGGCAGGAAGGTTTGAGGGGCTTGTCGCGGGGGTACCAGCGGCCATGGCGCCGGCACTCCCACCCCTGACTCCGTTCCTTCTCATTGAGTGGTAAATAGCCAATAGGAAAAGTGTTCCAGCAGAACATCTCTCGCAGAGTCATATACACACACAGTTTTAATGCATATACGCTCGTGTTCCGCCCTTACTCGGCCGCACCTTTGCCGCTTAAACTTTGACCTCTTTCCCCGTTCCCGCATGCCACAGCAGTGGCACTTGTTTATCCGGAGAAAGAGAGCGAGAGTCGCAGTATTAATTGGCGTGAGCGGCCTTTCCGGTTGCAGAACTAGTGCTCTATCCCGGCGAGCGCCGTTATGAGGCGCAACACCGTCTTTAACGCGTTTAGAGAGAACTCCCCCTGCCTCCCTCCCAGGCCTGTCAGTCATGAGATAGACGTGGACTCGTGGCGAACTCTCAAAGAGAACGCCCACACCGCGTCTGACCGTGGGAGAGGGTGGAGGAGCGCGTGAGGAAGGGCACGGCGTCACCCAAGCATTCTCATCTCTCTGCCTGCACCACTACATGGTAGACTGCGGGCCCAGGCGCACTCATCAATTTAGGTTCCACTGCAATGCATGCCAAGCACTCTTTTCGAGGTGATAGACGAAATTCCGGCGGGGCTTACTTAAAAGATATCCGACCCGGTTTCGTTTCCTCTTCGTGGGATGGAGTGCCTCTTAGAACATGTGCAGCATCAGCCATGAGCGGCCGACGGCCATTCGTGTCCCTGTGGACAGCAGGCAAAAGAGCGCCGCCTCCAGTTATTTGCGAGGGCGACAACTGTCGCTTTGTTGTGGTTGAATGTGGGTGCGCCAAGTCCATGGACTTGCTAGTGATAGGCTTGCTTGTTTTTAAGGGCACGCCTCGCGCAAGGCGCGGGCGATTAAACCCCAAGGCGGAAGCTCGGTTCGGGTTACCCTCGTGTCGGGGAGACAGTCAGCAGGCACCGAACTCGCAGCAACCGATGGATGTATATTTCCGACCCTCGTAGAGGAGTGGCGGCGACAAGCTCATATGGCTGCCGCTGCCGCAATATGCGTTCAACTTGTCGATGTATCTGGTATCGGTTGACGCGCGGCTCAGACGACCCGCCTTGTCGAAAGGATCCCCGTTGGTGAGTTGTGCATTAGCCATTTGGTTTGGCGTAATTTCAACCATCACAGGCCTAGTCTCAGTACGAAAGGGTTTGACAGACATAGCCTAAGTTTCAGGGGAGTTTGGGTTTGGCCGGACGGCTTGTTGTTGCTTTTTGACACTTGAATTTCACTCTTTTTGGGTCAAGAGGCTTATTCGCCGGTAGTAAGGAACGGACGGGCAGCCGTCCAAAGCCCCGTCCGTCCTCCTCCTCCGGTCTTCGCGCTCTCGCCCGAGTGTGGTCCACCTACAGCGTGGTGGTACCTATTTTTGGTGCGGGGGCCGGGATTGTCCTCTTTCGCTGCTGGAGTTGCCAGAGCAGAGCCCGAGACCGCCCAAATCAGGAGAGTAGTAGTAGTTTTAAGAGCGCCCCGTTCTCTTTCTCTGTTAATGATCCTTCCGCAGGTTCACCTACGGAAACCTTGTTACGACTTTTACTTCCTCTAAATGATCAAGTTTGGACATCTTTCCGTCAGCTCGAGGCGACGACCCCAGAAAACCCTCGCGGGCAACGGGGCCGACAATCCAAGAGTGCCAGTCCGAAGGCCTCACTAAATCATTCAATCGGTAGTAGCGACGGGCGGTGTGTACAAAGGGCAGGGACGTAGTCAGCGCAAGCTGATGACTTGCACTTACTGGGAATTCCTCGTTCATGG